ATCCACCTGGCCATGCCGGGCCCAGAATATAATGCTATTTTGATCGTGATATGCGTAGAGAAACTGGTGTCTTGTTTTTGGTAGTAGTCGGCACGGGTACTCAGAAATCCGGGTCCCTATTTACTGTCTACGTACAAAATATTTAATAAGTGAATTTCAAGAAAATGTTTAAAATATGACGGTAATGCAGTTATAAGCGTGTGTCTGACCGGCGTGATAAAGGAAAACATGAATATCTTTATTCAATCTGAGATTATGTTTTTAATATTATTATTTCGTTGTTTTCAATACTAAAAAAGTTACACGAGACAATAAGTTATGAAGAAAAGTAACGTATGCACTTCAAATATTAATATTTTGATCAATCTAATATAAGTTGTTTTTACTTTCTCTTTTTTAATTATTTTAACACAAACACCACCAGAGGTCCACGGGAATTTTCACACCGGGTACCCGGATCCATATTCCTTCCTGTGCTGAACTTTATTTTTCTTGTTAACTTTTCTTCTTTGAATTAAAATTACAATTAATTTGACATTTGATCTGTTGATTTAGTAGTACTACTGCATTCGTTTTGTGGCATAGAAAAAAAATCACAGTGAATGGTCGAAATGTTTAGTAGAGTGTGACTTTAGAAGAAGTTAAGGTCTCGCATTTTTAGTTTTAAGCCTTTTTTCTCCTCAAATTGTAAGTTTACTCTAGTTTCAATACATTTTTCCTTTCAAGATTTGATAAAAAAAACTATCATATTTAGTTCTCGTATTGTTGTGATTTCGCTTTCTTCTACTTTATTTTACCGAATTAACTTTAGTTTATTCTTAAATTTATAATGAAGGATGCATTGGTGTAACCCACATAGGCTTAACAGCCTGGTTGTCATGGAAACGTAATACAACATGGATTCTTAACGTTATTTTTTCATAGAAACTATTGACCTGCCACAAAAAGCACCATCATCCTACTGCTGTTAAAGGAGACGGCGAAGCTCTTCAAAAAGAACGAGATGTGTTGCTTGACTTACAAAAGAAAGAAAGTGTTTCCCACGTGGACATCAACTGTCACGAGCCAAACACGGGGTCGACACCTCTTATCCTAGCCACGTTAAATGGTTAGTCATCTAACTAATCGGAATTATATTACGGTTTTTAGTTTAGTTAACAATTTTTCACTCATGGATTATAAAATCATTCAGTGTACATTGTCCTAAGATACTTTAAATTCATTATAAGTTGCAATTTATTTTGGATAAGTCACCAGAAGTACCTAACTAATAGCCCTAAAATGTATACGACTACTGACTGTAACTTATATCCTAAAATATATACAACTGTTGACTGTATTTCTAACTTTGTATGAGTGATAGAAAGGTAGTTTTCATTCCTTTCGTTCGAAGTTTCGTAATTTTATTATTTTCACGCACGCCATTTAAGCTATGCTTTTTTGCAGGTATTATGTGTTAGATGACAAATCCTGATCTACTGAGGAAAATGTTACGCGGTGAGACAAACAAACCCACGTAGACGTAATTCTATTTAATAAAACCACGTGTAAGGTAAACAATAAAGTAAAGGTATTTATAATATTTTACAGAGTAAGAAACAGTTATAAGTGTTTAGTGTATAACTGTTTTACGAGTTGAAACAAAGAAACTGACAAAAACGAAGAATATAACCTGTAGTAAAGAAAAAAGTAGTTAAAAGGTGTTTATAGCAGTCTACAAAACGAATTGAAGCTACACTATTAAAAAGTAAAGTAAATGTAAAGTTGTAATGAAGGCAAACTTAGCTGAATATGCAGAAACGTCTGAATGCGTGTTCACAAAGTGATAAGCTTATGACATTGAACGAACTGCACATGCGTGTTTCAAATAAGTTGAAAAAGCCCGTAGAAATTGTATTTAGTGTAATGTTAATTTTTTTAGGAAATTACACGCGGGTTAAATGTTGTTTGTGTGAAATACTTTGCAAATAAAAAATCTAAAGTTGAAATCGAAGCCATTCGTCAGGTAGTGACAACGAAATTGTGCCATTGTGTAGCATACTATTTGAATTAAACATTTTGACTAAGCAAAAAACAGTTAAGCTAATTCTGAATGGAAAAGCTAATGTCCGAACCGGATTCCTTGAAGAAAGACCTTTCTAACGATATCACTGCCAACGAGGATATTCGCCAATACGAGACTCATCAGGCCTTCTGACAATGATAGAAGAAAAAATTTTGCGACCGTTGAATGTAAATTTTAGCCTAACATCTATAAGGTCGTTGACTGTAAAAAATAGCCTAAAACTACGCAGTAAGGTATAATAATGTAAAATGAAACATTCTAACTTGTAAAGTTCAAACAGATGTGTGAAACTTATTGAACGTTAGGATCCAGATATTTATCAATATTTTCGAAATTCGATGTCATATATATATATATTTCCAGGCAATCAAGACCTGTGTTCTTTACTTCTTCATTTTGGAGCTGACGTAAATGCTACAGATTCAAAAGGGTAAGTCAAAGTGCCGATTTTACGAACAATACCTGAAGCTGTTATTTGACCTAAAAACTTTTTCCCATCATAAATTATTTAGAACTGTGCGTTTTAACACCAGAGGGCAGTATATATGCTGTTAAGAAAACATCATGTTAAAAAGATTTGAAACGTCTGGTAAATGATGATGGTCCCCAACTTTAATTTTTCTCTTGCTCAAAAGTAAAACTAGAATAAAATATATCGAACTAACAATACCAGTAAACCTCCATTAGAGACTGATCTCAGTAACTGAGTTTCTTGTCCCGGGATAGATGATCGGAAGAAAACATCAATTTAGTAATAATATGTATGTTTCATTGGGTGCCCATTTATGTGGGGAGGGAATTAGCTTTTATAGTGTAACTGAACAGACTAAAATTATATGTGTTATGTGTGCTTAAACGCATATTTAAAACATATAAGACATATAAAAACATATTTCATTTAACTAAGATGTTAAGTTCACATCATAACACGTGTAATTTTTTGTCAAATGTAAGGGAGGGCAAATGTCCCCTTTTGCCCCTTCCTGCAGGCGTCCGTGTATGTTTCGAAGTTGTAGAACACAAGATAAAAGAAAATACCCTACTTCGTGCGGTACAATATACCTAGAAAATATCTCCATAAAATATGTGTTAGCACGTGCCACATGACGCCAGGGAGCTAAAAAATACCGGCAATATATAATGATTATGCTAGCGGGTGTAGGTCAGTTATTATTTTTTCATGAAAGGCGTAAGAATTAGCGGTTCATAAGAGTAGCTAGCACGAGGTGTTATGTATACATGTTTCCTTACCGCTGGGATAATTTCTTTGTTGTGAAGCGCAAAGCTATGCACTCGACTATCTGTTCTCACTACTGGTGGTATAATAACCCGGTTTTTAGCGTTAAAAGCCTTCAGACCATCCACTGAGCCACTTGGGGGCGCGCTAGGTTAATATTGAAATAAAATCGATGACTTCATGACTTGTCCACATGAGGAAGTGAAAGTTCATCGAAAATCGTGACCTGCTTATAAAACTAGTACACTGCCAAATAATAATAATAAAACTAACATCCTGGCACCTCTAACGTTCCATATCTTACTAAAATACATTCAACTACGTTAATATAAAATGAAACATTCCAACTTGTGAGGTACATTAATGTAAAATGAAACATTCCGACTAGTGAGGCACATTAATGTAAAATGAAACATTCCAACTTGTGAGGTACATTAATGTAAAATGAAACATTCCAACTTGTGAGGTACATTAATGTAAAATGAAACATTCCAACTTGTGAGGTACATTAATGTAAAATGAAACATTCCGACTAGTGAGGTACATTAATGTAAAATGAAACATTCCAACTTGTGAGGTACGTTAATGTAAAATGAAACATTCCGACTAGTGAGGTACATTAATGTAAAATGAAACATTCCGACTAGTGAGGTACATTAATGTAAAATGAAACATTCCAACTTGTGAGGTACATTAATGTAAAATGAAACATTCCGACTAGTGAGGTACATTAATGTAAAATGAAACATTCCGACTAGTGAGGTACATTAATGTAAAATGAAACATTCCGACTAGTGAGGTACATTAATGTAAAATGAAACATTCCGACTAGTGAGGTACATTAATGTAAAATGAAACATTCCAACTTGTGAGGTACATTAATGTAAAATGAAACATTCCAACTTGTGAGGTACATTAATGTAAAATTAAACATTCCAACTTGTCATAAACTGTCCCATTGTTTGTGTTCTGAGCATTATTGAAACCATTGTTTACAGACAGGAAAATTATTTATGGAATGGTTATCATACTTTTCATAATGTGGTTAAGGATTTATTGATTCAAAAACAGAGTTGACAGAATCCATCAATTTGGGTACAGTGTGATGTCTGTTAAGGTAAAAGTTGACAGAATCCATCAATTACAGTACAGTGTGGCATCTGTTAAGACCACAGTTGACATAATCCATCAATAAAGGTACAGTGTGATGTCTGTTAAGACCACAGTTGACAGAATCCATCAATAAGGTACAGTGTGATTCTGTCAACTGTGGTCTTAACAGACATCTGTACCCTTATTGATGGTTCTGTCAACTGTGGTCCTAACAGATGTCACATCCATCAATAAGAGTACAGTGTGACATCTGTTAGGACCACAGTTGACAGAATCCATCAATATGGGTACAGTGTGGCATCTGTTAGGACCACAGTTGACAGAATCCATCAATAAGGGTACAGTGTGATGTCTGTTAAGACCACAGTTGACAGAATCCATCAATATGGGTACAGTGTGACATCTGTTAAGACCACAGTTGACAGAATCCATCAATAAGGGTACAGTGTGATGTCTGTTAAGACCACAGTTGACAGAATCCATCAATAAGGGTACAGTGTGATGTCTGTTAAGACCACAGTTGACAGAATCCATCAATAAGGGTACA